GGTTCTAAGAGAAATTCATCTTGGACCTAAAGCAGGGTGGAACCAAGTAGGTAAAGATTTTCTCAGATAACTGCAGAAAAGTAGCACCTGGGCTTGCAATCAGTTGTGCCACTGTATCTACAGATTCTAGGACAGTAGCTGGCATTTAGTAGGTGAGCAATAAATATTGGATGAAGGAATGAATTTTTAGAAAATGAACGCATTATTAAACTCTAAAAATCTGTCTAAGAGGACATTGCCACACAGTCCTTCAGGAAAATAATTCTGGTCTTTGAATGTTAGAGTTGCATGGGAGAGCCTTTCCTCTTTAAATGGTGGTATGTGAACTACTAATTCGGTGATATGTACACCGAAAGCCCAGATTTCGCCACTATACACTATATACATGTAATGAAATTCAACTTGTACTCCCTAAATATTGTAAAATTTCAAAAAGGAAAATAAAATAAAATAACAGACCAGGTGCAGTCGCTCATGCCTGTAACCCCAGCACTTTGGGAGGCTGAGGTGGGAGGATCACTTGAGGCCCAGAGTTTGAAACAAGCCTGAGCAACATAGCAAGACCCCATCTCTACAAAAAATAAAAAATAAACAAAAAATAAAAATTTTTTATTTATGGGCATGGGGGTGCTTGCCTGGGGGGGCTGAGGTGGGATGATCACTTGAGCCCAGGCACTTAAGGTTACAGTGAGCTATGATCACACCACTGTACTCTTTCCTAGGCAACAGAGCAAAACTGCATATTTAAAAAAAAAAAAATTGTATTTTTTCCCTCATGGATTTTGGGCTTAATTTTTATTTTTAAAACATTGCATTCACTTATTCTTTATCTTGATTACCAAGTTTTGCTACTCCCTTAATTTTGCACCTGGAGGCATGTGTTTTGCACACCTCCCCTTACTCTTGGTCCTGATGTGAAATTATACTGAAAGCAGGTAGCTCATATTTGTACATACTTGCCATTCAGAAAACATGCAGTTTTTTTTCTTCTTCTTTTATTTATTTATTTATTTTGAGACAGATTCTCACGCTGTTGCCAAGGCTAGAGTGCCGTGGCATCAACCTAGCTCACAGCAACCTCAAACTTCTGGGCTCAAGCCATCCTACTGCCTCAGCCTCCCAAGTAGCTGGGACTACAGACATGTGCCACCATGCCTGGCTAATTTTTTTTTTCTATATATTTTTAGTTGGCCAATTAATTTCCTTCAATTTTTAGTAGAGACAGGCGTCTCACTCTTGTTCAGGCTGGTTTCGAACTCCTTGAGCGATCCTCTCGCCTTGGCCTCCCAGAGTGCTAGGATTACAGGCGTGAGCCACCACACCTGGCCTTTATTTTGCCTTTGTTCAATGATCATCTTCCAACAAAAATGTATTCAGTGTAGGGTATGTGTGAGGCAATGCTGGGGATCATCAGAGCTGATGCTCACGTAAGTCAGGAACTTAAATAACTACAGCCATAGAAATAAAGGAGGTGCATAACTACAATTTAAGGTAGAGAAGTGCTATAAGAAGTAAAGAGGCTCTGAATGAATGTAGAGGTAACTTTTATTTGGGTGAACTTGGAGAAACTTTTGGACCTTAAAGAGGACCCTTAAATGGGTTGAATATAGCCCATAACCTTTTGGGAGTGTATAGAAAATCAATCAACCTACCAATAAAATGGGTAGATTTTTGTGAGGATTCAAAAAACAGATATGACAATGGCACAGATATGTAAAATTCCACATAATAACGTCAATGTAGACTTTAACAGTATCAGCTACAATAAATAATTCAAAAGGGCTTACTGTCCTTTTTGTAGGATTCTAAATCCATTTTAAATTCCTCAGCCTGCAAGAGATAACTGATAATGTCCCTTAGTGAGACCCCCATATGTGGGACACAAATCCTTCTGTATGAAAGTTTAAGCTGGGGATCATTCCTAAATGCCAGGGTTACTTCTGCCCTCTGGTGGTAAGAAAAAATATTGCTGGGAAAGCAAACCACAAGCACCCTCCCCTCCCATCTGCTGTACAAAGATCTGGGTGGTCGAGATTGCTGTTAGTGATAAGGTCATTAGTATTCATGAAGCAACGGCAGCAATAACAAAGAACGGTGATTAAAAATTGAAACTCTACTGCAGACTGAAGGAAAAATGCATTAGTGATGACTCACACTCAAAATCCATTGCTTAAACAATATACAGTACATGAGCAGATAAAAATCACATGACAGGAAGAAGCAGGGGCTAGAGATAAAAAACTTTTATTTGTTATCTTCCAGTTCTTCTGCCTAGACTGATCAACAAGCCACAAAGTACAAAGTAATTGACTGACAGGAGCTGAGAGATTATTTACAAACCTGTCTACCAATGACAGAGGCAGTAAGACCAATAGACCCAATTGGGTGCTGGAGCAATTGGACTTCCATATGCAAAAATAAATAAATAAAAGGAATCTCCACCCTTAGCTGCACCATATACAAAAATTAACTCAGAAGGATCATAGACCTAAGTGTAAAACTGAAAAGTAAAATTTACAGAATAAAAAAGAGGAACAATCTTTGTAATCTTGGGTTAGGCAAAGATTCTTTGTAGGACACAAAAAGTATAAGCCATAAAAGAAAACAGTTGATAAACAGGACTTCATCAAAATGAGAACCTCTGCTCTTTGAAAGACTCTTTTAAGAAAATGAAAAGATTAGCCATAGACTGGGTGAAAATATTTACAAAACACATATTCTGATAAAGGACTTATATTCAGAGTCTGTGTGTGTGTATGTGTGTATATATGTATATATACACTTACAACTCAACAGAAAAAAAACCAACAAGCCAATTAAAAAAATGGGTACAATTTTGAACAGACAATTCACCAAAGAAAAGATACATATGGCAAATAAATACATGAAAGATATATAACACTAAGGAAATGCAAATTAAAATCCCTATACAGCTATTAGAATGGCAAAAAGTGAAAATAAAAAGGACAATATCAAGTGCAGATTGAGGGTGCAACTATTAAACTCATAGATTGCTGGAAAAATAATATAGTCTCTTTAGAAAACTGCTTGGCAGTTTCTCATATAAACATACAATTACAGGCCGGGCATGGTGGCGGACACCTATAATCCTATAATCTGGGAAGCTGAGGTAGGAGGATTGCTGGAGCTCAGGAATTAGAAACCAGCCTGAGCAAGAGCGAAACTCTGTCTCTATTGAAAAAAAAAGTCACATTATTGGCCAGCTCACGCCTTTAATCCTAGCACTCTGGAAGGCAGAGGTGTGCACATCGCTTAAGGTCAGGAGTTCGAGACCAGCTCTGAGCAACAGCGAGACCCCGTCTCTACTAAAAATAGAAACAAATTAATTGGCCAACTAAAAATATATAGAAAAAATTAGCCGGGCATGGTGGCATATACCTGTAGTCCCAGCTACGAGGTGGGGGGCTGAGGCAGAAGGATCCCTTGAGCCCAGGAGTTTAAGGTTGCTGTGAGCTAGACTGACACCACGGCACTCTAGCCCGGGCAACAAAGTGAGACTCTGTCTCAAAAAAACCAAAAACAAAAACAAAAAAACTATATAAATGTGGTAGTTACCATTCTTCAACGAATAAATTGATTTGTGTGTGTGTTTGGGGGTTAGATGGGGGGAAAGAACCTATAGATTAAAAGGTAATTAAAAGACACATCAGCCAGTCTGAAAGGATGGACCTTATTTGGAACCTGAGAGTATCAGAATTCAAATACTGACATAACATTTGATGATTTTAAATAAGTATTAATTTGTTTTTAAGTGAGACAATAATTTGTGGTTATGCAAAAAAATTGAGCTTTTAATTTTTAAAGAAGCATGCTGAAATATTTGGAAACGAAATGATGTCTGTGGATAGATAATTGTTGAAATTGGGTGAATATACTGTTCTCTCTACTTTTGAATATGCTTGGAATTTTCCATAAGTTTTAAAAAATGAAATTAAGGCTTATTTTAAAAGTAGTAAAGGTGAGAACTTTTACCAGAATTACAATCTTTTTTTTAATGTGTAACATGTTCTTTGTAAGACTCCCATGAATTCAGAAATTTATGACACTACTTATGAAAATAACCTCCAAAAGAAACCTTTATGTCTAATGTTTTTAAACTTGGTAATTTGTTGCCTGGATATCTTGTAAAAGACGTTCTGAATTCCTAAATGAAAATAAAAGTGAATGGATGGGAAGAAATAGAGATTCAGAATATTATTATTATTATTATTATTATTATTATTTTACCCACAGTACTTTGGCATGGATAGAATATTATTGATCTTCAATCATGCTCACAAATATTTCCAAGTTTAAAAAATATATATATCTACCTGCTGCTTTGCTTCAAAAGAAAAAAACAATGTCATTTTTTAAACGTTATTTGGGGTTAGAGTTCATATAATTTTTAAAAATACCTGCTTATCTGTATTTTTGAATTTTTATGTAAGAACATACGGGTATCTTGTTTAGTTGTATGAATTAAATTTTAAAAAGATTTTTTTAAAAAATGAAAGAAAAAGAAAAGGAACGTAGCCACCAACTGCTACTTTCACTGATTGAAAGTGCAGACACACAGCAAAATCGACCACCAAAAGTGAACGTAAGGGGGCGGGGCGGAGAACCGACGCAGGCGCAATAGCGAGGGATCGTCGGAGGCGGGACTACGACCTCAGTTAAAGGACAGTTGTAGCAGCCAATCAGAGGCAGGGGCGGTAGCTATATTTTGGAGCGGGCGAACGGAAGCTGGTTTCGGCCTCAGTGGTGAAGGCGGCTGGCTGCGTAAAGCGAGCGCTGAGGTGAGTGGGCGGCGACGTCTTGGGGCTCTGGCCTGCTTGCGTTTTTCCTTCTCGACCCCGCGGCTTCCTCTGCGCTGGGCTGGGAAAGGGGGAGGCCTGGCGAAGAGCGGCGTCGGAAGGCGCTCGCCGGCGGTCACCTCCCGCGTCTCCCGGAGAGCGCGGCCTCCCCGGCCGCCGGTGGAGGCCTCGGGGTGCCCGGCCGTCCGGCTGAGGGGCCCTCGGCGCGGGAGGCCCGGGGCTCCCTGCGTGGGGAACGGCTAGCTAGCCGGACTGGAGGGGCGGAGGCCCGGGGTCTGGTCCCCGCGCCGCTGGTCTTCTGAGCTGTGTGGCTTTGCGACACATTCGCCCTCGCTGGCCCTTTGTGTGATGAAAATAACCATCCCTGCCCGCCATCCTTTTGGTAGCACTTGTGAAATCAGCTGGGTTCATTTGCGAGGGGGCAGGGCGGATACATCCTAAGCCAAATCGGCGGACTCATCTGAAGAGGTGTTCAAAGCGACGTTCGGGGGGGCCGCATTCACAGTAGACAAAATGAATGGGATCTCTGGGGGTGGCGCCCTGAAATACCTTTATTTTGGTGAGACTCTCCCACTCCCCGATAGAGCAAGCACTGGAAGGTGGGTCTTTCCCCACATTCTCTTGGGCAGTGTTGGCCTAGCACCTAAGGGAATTATGCAGTGGTCATGATGGTAGCTTCTGCTGTAAGAGCATGGTGGGTGGGAGCTCTCCACCCCAGGAAGCTTCCTGGGGTGCCAGAGCAGCTAAGCGCATCCTGCTGAAATTGGGATGAGCAGAACTCTGAAGAAACAGAGGAATGTCACTTCTGCTGGCATGCAGAGCCTACCACATAGGAATGGTTCTAATATTTGTTGGATGATGGAATATTTGAAATCTTGTTAGACTGCTTGATGAAAAAAGTTCTAAGGCACACCAACATGAAAGTCTAGATAGAGGCCGGGCGCGGTGGCTCACGCCTGTAATCCTAGCACTCTGGGAGGCTGAGGCGGGTGGATCGCTCAAGGTCAGGAGTTTGAAACCAGCCTGAGCAAGAGCGAGACCGCCCCCCCCTTACTAAAAATACAAAGAAATTAATTGGCCAACTAAAAATATATAGAAAAAATTAGCAGGGTATGGTGGCGCATACCTGTAGTCTCAGCTACTTGGGAGGCTGAGGCAGAAGCATCCCTTGAGCCCAGGAGTTGGAGGTTGCTGTGAGCTAGACTGACGCCATGGCACTCTAGCTTGGGCAACAGATTGAGACTGTCTCAAAAAAAAAAAAAATTAAAAAGTTTAAATAGAAAAAGAGAGGCAGAGACAATAAAAGAGACTGAAAGGGAGTGTCCAGGGAGGAAGGAAGAAAACATGAATGTCAGAGTCACAAATTAAGGGAGTGGGGTGTGTGTGTGTTGAGGAGGAAAAAGTCTGATGGGATTAAGATGAATGTGATTGAATTAAGTCATGTGATTCTTAATGGCTCTGAGCAGTTTTACTGGAGTTGAAGTCAGATTTGGAAATGACAAAAATGAATATACAGAGGCTGGTAAAGCAGTGAATTGTAGGTTGGTACAGTTACAGTAGTTCATATTGTCTGATTACTTCATCATCCTATGCACCACTGTAGCTTAGTGGAAACTTAGGGTTGCCTTACAGCTGCCCTCAGTACCTCTCAAATTCTCTATATAGTACGACTTCTAGTATGTTACTTGCCCCACCTGATGTTGAAGGGTCTTACATCTTGAAACTCTGATAATATCACTCTGAAAGAGCACTAGCGAATCTTCTCATTGGATAATATACCTAGACTTAAAATGGAGTAAATTGAGGTTATTGTGGCCATAGAAGATACTGAGCTTGACTTTGGGTTTGAAATTTGTGTAATAGATGTAGAAAAGTTATAAATACCTTTTGTAACTATAAAGTTATAGAGTACACAGTGACAAAAGGGTTTGGAATTGGATTATTTCATCTAGGAACCTTGGATAATACCAGGTGTCTGGAATTTATAAAGTGAAAGTGATTGTGACATGAGATTGGGAGACAGCACATGAGTTTGGCTAGAGAAGGGTAGAGAAATGGGCCATAACTGATGAAGGATGTGGAATCCAGAAGATTTTCTTTATAGATGAAAATATGCTGCAGCATATTGTTTATGCTGATGAAAGTATTAAGAAGAGAAGGCAAAGTATGTGGATGGTTGAGAATATAATGCCTAATTATAAAAGAATGGCACATTTTTAGGAACTAAGGAGATTATCTTGTCCAGGGCCTCAAACTGCCAGAAGAAAAGGAAGAAAATATTCTGTCTGTAGTCATTTAATGTAACAGGTTTGTTTTGTAACTCTACTCTAAATCTTTTGTCTGTTTCTGTAGGTTCTTCATCTTCCACAATGGGTGAACCACAGCAAGTGAGTGCACTTCCGCCACCTCCAATGCAGTACATCAAGGAATATACAGATGAAAACATTCAGGAAGGCTTAGCTCCCAAGCCTCCCCCTCCAATAAAAGACAGTTATATGATGTTTGGCAACCAGTTCCAATGTGATGATCTTATCATCCGCCCTTTGGAAAGTCAGGGCATTGAACGGCTTCATCCTATGCAGTTTGATCACAAGAAAGAACTGAGAAAACTCAATATGTCTATCCTTATTAATTTCTTGGACCTTTTAGATATATTGATAAGGAGCCCTGGGAGTATAAAACGAGAAGAGAAACTAGAAGATCTTAAGCTGCTTTTTGTACATGTGCATCATCTTATAAATGAATACCGACCCCACCAAGCAAGGGAGACCTTGAGAGTCATGATGGAGGTCCAGAAACGTCAGCGGCTTGAAACAGCTGAGAGGTTTCAGAAGCACCTGGAACGAGTAATTGAGATGATTCAAAATTGCTTGGCTTCTTTGCCTGATGATTTGCCCCATTCAGAAGCAGGGATGAGAGTAAAAACTGAACCCATGGATGCTGATGATAGCAACAATTGTACTGGACAGAATGAACAACACAGAGAAAATTCAGGTCATAGGAGAGACCAGATTATAGAGAAAGATGCTGCCTTGTGTGTTCTAATTGATGAAATGAATGAAAGACCATGAAGGATGTCTCTTTCCTCTTGTCTTTTTTTCTTTTTAGTACATAGCTCATATGTATTAAAAGTTATATATTATTAAAAGTTAAAAATTAATTTTTTGGACAGTCTTAAGAGAGGTATAACTAAAAATGTAAATGACTTTAATCTTTACTCTCCAACTTCTTCAATTATGAGATGTCATAGGCAGTAATTTTGGTGTATAACAAGCATGGCAAATGAGTACTACTACATTAAGAGTAATCACTTTACAAAGCAAAGTATGTATGTGCTGCTATTGTGTGAGACATTCCTATTTTTTGGAGTTGCAGTAAAACTTTGAAGATAACCTCAATAATGGCAAGCCTTCATTCTTGAAAAGGAAATTTATCATTTGCTTTAAGAATGATAAATAAAGGAGAGCAAAATGTAAATGTGAAACTATGAAATCTTTAGACTTTATTAAAAATTTTGCTTAAGCTCCAAGAAGCAGTGTAACATGTTAATAGTGAAGAACCCAGTAGAGTTGTGAAACAGGAACTTTATTTTTCTTCATGACTGCTCCTGTAAACCCTCTATCTCAGCTGCTTCTCCCTGTACTGGATAGAATCATACAGGCTAGTCCCCTAAGTTGTTTTTTTCCCAGTCACTCAGGTAATAAGTTCTTTGGTCATTTTCAGTTACAAACACTCATTTTAGTAATTAAGATATCTATGTCATTAGCTACACATTTTTTTTGTGTGTGTGTGAGCAGTGCTAGGTCATAGATAACCAGGTCCACGCATGTTTGTGTCTTTCCACAATGTCAGACTTCCGTTGATGCTATTTCAACCATAAAAGTCATGAGCTACGTGGAGTTCCCAAGGATAGAGTCTCCTTAGTACTGCCTATTCAACTGGTAATCAGAGCCGCTAACATACAGGTTCCAGCCACTTCACAAGTTGGGCAATATTGCAAACCATACATAGTAGTATACGTAACATATAAAGTTATAGATTAAAGTTTATGTATTAAAGTAACACTTAACATCAAAAGAGAGAAAGGGGATAGGAAAGGGGCTTACTGAACCAGTCCACTGAAAGTGACGTGGACAAGAAGGTCCTGGGCTGATCCTGTTGATTGCCAGTGTCTTGCAAGGGAGAGTTTGATTTTGGCAGAGCCTTTTGGGGTGGATACCTAGTGGCTAATGACCAGGGACAGCAAGGCTATCGCCATAGAGACAACCCTACACATTTCCTTTAAAGCCAAGCTCAGACTTGCTGAAGGCTGGAAACCTACAATGGGAAAGGGTGTGATGGCAGGGATAGATAGGTCTATCAAAGATTCTTGCTCCCCTTTGAGACATGCTGCTGAGATATAGATGACCAGCCAGGGACTACATTTTCCTGCTCCCCTTGCTTCTATGTAAGGCTGTGCGACTAAATTCTGGGCAGTGAGATACGTGTGTGGTAATCTAGGTCTGCCCCATGAACATTTCTTGGATGATCCTCCATTCTCTTCCCATTTGTTGGTTGGATGGCCATACCTAGGATAACTTTGGAAGCCACTCAAGATGGCAGAAATTGTCAATTTGGGTCTTCAAATGACTGAGGATTAAGTCCTCCTTTCATTAACTTCCCTCTCCCCCCGCTAATTTGACTTTATGTGAGCACTTTCTTCTCCCTTCCCCCCACCACCCTCTCTCTCCAAGGTGTTGGTGGAGAGTTGGCCCTGTATCTGAGGGTCTCTGCCTGCCATTTTCTTTACGTAGGCCAGTGGTTTTCAAAGTGTGGTCCTGGACTAGTAGCATTAGTATCACCTGGGGACTTGTTAGAAATGAAAATTCTCTGCTTCCACCCCAAACTTTGTGAACCAGAAAACTCGGGGGGTAGGGCCCAGCGGGCTGTGTCTTAACCGGCTTTCTATAATATGTGATTCTAATACATACTCAAGATTAAGAACCACTGATAGAGGTAATGCATTTTCCTAGATGTCCACTTTTGATTCTTCCCTTAGTCCCTGGTTTCTAACATAGGAATTTGCTCCATTAAGGTCTCATTGGCTGTAGAGCTAGTGAAATTCAGATGGATACAGGCCACTTCTCCTATGTGAAATGTACATAATTTGCCTTCACAGATCCATTGAGGGTAGACAGAAAGGCAGATAGTTGTCAGATAGGCAGCTAGTTGGCTAGTCTTTTGTTTTTTTTCTGCTGTGTGTTTGTTACAGACCTCTGGGCGACAGAGACTTCAGGGGGCGTAGTCCAGGCTCTCTTAAGCTTAAATTGAAGGTGGGAGCATGGTGGAAATTGCATAGCACTTGACCATATCTTCCCTTCTTTGACTCTTAGAACCTTGAGGAGGGTGTTGTACTGAGCTATAAAGCCAGTTTCTGGCTACTTTAAAAATCTTTGCATGTAAAAACCAGGGAATCATGTAGTGTTATAAGTCACAACAGTTACATGCATTTGTGTATGTAGTATGGGGAGGGTTGAGTAATTAAAATGCCATCGGGAATCTTCTTCAATTTAGACCTCTGGAGGATCCGATCTTGCTTGTCTGTGAGTGTGACCTGACATAAACTTTTAAAGGGTTCTGGTGTAAACTCTTCCTGTTACTGTGGAATGAGGAAGCACTAGTAGTCTTATAGTTGTCACAAGTTTAAAAGCTTATGGGCAGGTGCAGTGACTTACGCCTGTAATCCTAGCACTTTGGAAGGCTGAGGTGGGAAGATCACTTGAGGCCAGAAGTTTTGAGACCAGCCTGAGTAAGAGCGAGACCCCGTCACTACAAAAAATAGAAAACTTAGCTGGGTGTGGTTGCATGCGCCTGTAGCCCCAGCTTCTTGGAAAGCTGAGGCAGGAGGATTGCTTGAGGCCAGGTGTTTGAGGTTGCAGGGAGCTATGATGATGTACTCTAGCCTGGGCAATAGAGCGAGACCCTGTCTCAAAGAAAAGCTTATATGAGGTCTTTCAATTTTGTAAGGATTACAATACATGACTGCACACCTGCTTATAATGAATATTCTTGAAAGAGTGATTCATTGAAGTGAAATGTCTGGAAGAATCAACTGAGTAGCTCTTGAAATTACCAATGCTCAGGCCCCAGGCTGCAGAGATTCTGATTTCATCTTTTTGGACTGAGGCCCTGGCATTGGTTTTCAGAAATCTGAAGATGATTCTACTGTGTAGCAGTTAAACAGTATTGCACTCTGCTCTGAACTTTCATTGAGGTAAACAAAGAAAAAAAAAAGTGATTTAAAAAATTTTTTAAAAAGTATAGCACTAATCAGTGCTCTGTTTTTGGTGACAAAAACCCTACTTGAACTAATTTAAGCAAAAAATGAATTTATTGAAAGAATATAGGGTATGTTGATTGAAGGATAAATTGAATATCCAAACTGTGAGGAGAAGGCCAGGCATGGTGGCTTACGCCTGTAATCCTAGCACTCTGGGAGGCAGAAGCAGGAGCATCATTTGAGCTCAGGAGTTTGGGACCAGCCTGAACAAGAGTGAGACCCTGTCTCTACCAAAAGTAGAAAAAATTAGCCGGACATGGTGGTGCATGCCTGTAGTCCCAGCTACTTGGGAGGCTGAGGCAGAAGGATTGCTTGAGCCCAGGAATTTGAGGTTACTGTGAGCTAGGCTGACGCCACGACACTCTAACCCAGGGCAACAGAGTGAGACTGTCTCAAAAACAAAACAAAACAAAACAAAACAAAACAAAACAAAAACTGTGAGGAGGACAGAAAGGGTTGGAATGAAATTTTGAGTTAGTGTCCTATTGACCCTCCCTGTTGGCATCATTCTTTTTACAGATCAACTTCTTTAATGATGTATGTGGAATACATGGCTACTAAAAGTATTTAAGTGTTTCTGTATCTACTACGTCTGGGAGTTATCAACTTAAATACAAACTTAAAAAACTCATGAGGGGAGGCTATTTAAGCAGCTAGGCATGAGGAGTTAGGGTTTGTATACCTGATTCCACCTGGGCAAATCAGCTTGGACCTGGATCCCATAAGAATTTGACAGTCCCCACTATGTCCTTGTGTGGCAGGGTCAGTCTATCTCTCAGAGGAGGAAGAGGTGCCGAGCTAACGATACTGTAGATATCCACTACAAGTTAAATACATGTAAACTGTTGATATAAATAGTAAAAATAAACATTGTACAAATTCACATTTCCTTCATCTCTAATGATGGTAGTTTTCCCCAACTATTCATTTATTCCCTGTATTCAATTGATGAATACTTCTCGTGGTCCTATCTATGCTGACATTGTTTTAGGTATTGAATGTGTGGGCAGGGTGAAGGAAAATGTAAGACAGACAATAACAAAACAAATGAGTCTGGGTGTGGTGGCTCAGGCCTGTAATCCTAGCACTTTGGGAGTTGGAGGGGGCAGGATTGCTTGAGGCCAGGAGTTCAAGACCAGCCTGAGCAAGAGCGAGATCCCATCGCTACTAAAAATAGAAAAATTAGCCAGGTGTGGTGGTGCACACCTGTTAGTGCACCCAGCTACTCCGGAGGCTGAGGCAGGAGGATCCCTGGAGCCCAGGAGTTTGAGGTTGCTGTGAGCCATGATGACGCCATTGCACTCTAGTTTGAGCAACAGAGTGAGTCCCTGTCTCAAAAATGAATCAAATGAGTTGATTTTTAAACGTACTAAGTTTGTGTCTTAACCACTCAGCCATGACAGCACCCTCCGAAAAATCTTGCTTCCAGTTATGTGGCCATTGCCTGTTCAAAGCACCTTGTCTATGTCATCTTCTCTTTTTTTTGAGACAGAGTCTCACTGTTGCCCAGGCTAGAGTGAGTGCCGTGGCGTCAGCCTAGCTCATAGCAACCTCAAACTCCTGGGCTCAAGCGATCCTCCTGCCTCAGCCTCCCGAGTAGCTGGGACTACAGGCATGCGCCGCCATACCCAGCTAATTTTTTCTATATATATATATCTTTTGTTGGCCAATTAATTTCTTTCTATTTATAGTAGAGACGGGGTCTCCCTCTCAGGCTGGTCTCAAACTCCTGACCTCCAGCAATCCTCCCGCCTCGGCCTCCCGGAGTGCTAGGATTACAGGCCCCAGCCGCGCCCGGCCTTCAAGGTATATTTATAGGCTCACGTTTGCTTAGGGCTTTAGCAGGCAACTTCAACTTATGTGCTGTATTTCACAGAAAAAGCCTGTGTTGGGTGGGCCTTAATAAGGTCACTGGAAATGGCAAGTGCCAATGTCTTCCTGGGGAGATAAAAAGCATAATTTAGGGGCTCGCTGGTGCGCCCTCGGCCGCCAGACGACTCAGGAGCCGCGGGCGGGGACGAGGCTCGCTGCGCTCCCCGTGGGTGAGGCGGCGCCCTCGGGTCCCGGCCAGGGCACCCT